AGCAGCTAGACCCCTCCCAGCCGATCCTAAGCGTTTCGACTCGTACAGGATCAGCTATATGTCGCGCGCTTGCCAACGCCAGTCCTTCTTGGCTGTGCCCTTTCCCGACTAAGCATTGCGGCCAGATGAGCAGCCACCCAGACGCCGTTGGTCTAAAGCCATTCGAAACGCAGGACGGTGCCCACACTGCCATCTTTTGGCGCACTCATTGCGAGTATGGCAGCATTAACGGTCAACTCTGAATCAGCGTCGAGGCGCTTGTGCAAGTCGTCAGCGTGCGACGTCCTGAACGCATACTCTAGTGACCATGGCTTCCTCTCGGACCGTAGCTTTGGTTCGTGGACTGCCAAGGTGCTTGCTGAGTAGGGAGTGAGTAAGTACCTGCCATGCTCGACGGACGACGTTAGTTTTCGTTAGCGCGGCTCATTTTCCGCGCTCCTCGACCCAGGAATGCCTGGGAAACTCCGGTGCTCTGCAGCATCTCCTGACACGACGCGTCGTGGCTCGGTTTCACTCGCTTCGCGCTGAGACCGTCGAGCTGCAATCGCGTGGTTTGAGCTGTGGCCGGGAGCCTACAGGCCAAAAGCTCGGGAGAAAGTGCTCCAATCACCTGATCGAATCCCTGACATTCTTGCCACTGGGACTGCGTTGTCGATCATGCTGCACAGACCTGCACCTCACTATGCTTGGGAGCGCTCGCGATAGCAGCCATGCGCAAGGCCCGACCGCATGACAAGTGTATAGACAAACACGAAAACAAGACGCCCGTGACCAGCCCCTGTTCGATGGTCGCAGTCACTTGCCCTATCCTCAGGAGGGCTGGACAGTGGCGCGTCTTCGATAGCGACCAGAGGCGGTAACCGACACGTCGACAATGATAGGGCCCGGTAGCCAAGCCAATTTGTTTGCTTGGCTGCCGTCGTCGACCATCGCTTTCAACCGGAAACCTGGCGTGCGGACACAGCAAGGCTATGATCGGCCCGTGCATAGTGCCGGACGAAGGGTGCTTGAATGTCCCAAAGACATGTGCTCGGGCGGAGCCTTTCTACGCGGAGCCTTTCTACCAAAAAATGGCGGCCACACGCATTGAAAGCGAGCCGTGCGCGTTATCGCGAGAGCAGGGAGGCAGCAGTGTATGGCTCTGCGCAGGACAATGACTGCGAAACGACCGTCATGTTACGCTTGAGTAGCTGCACGTTTGCTTTCAGCCACCGGCGTAGCTTGCGTCGTCGGCAAAATGGTCGCTTGGTGAATGTTTGTGGGTCACTTGGTGAGGCGCGTGGCCTGAAGGATTTACGATCGAAAATGTCGAGTGGCTCCCTTTCAAGAGCTTTCAGAGAAGTGCTGTGGAAAGAAGCTAAGGGTCACGAAGACGCTAATGCTAGAACGCCACATGACTTTAAAGAAGGATTCTGAAGCGCGAAGGGTGAGTGGGGCTCGCCCATCCACACTTATCGTGGCTCTTGGGCAGGCGCAGGGATGGATTTCTTTCCATGCACGGAGGTGAACACTCGCAGCGCGCTAAGACAACAAGCGGGAAAGGACCCAGGCCTTTGCAAATCGCGCTAGCACACGGAACGGAGGTTAAACGGCATCCGACGAGGGCGTCCAAATTGCCTCTTCGAGGGCGGAGTTTCAGGACTGGATCTCGCAGGATGCAGCTAGCGCGAGCATCGCCTGCCTCGTTCAGAACGGTCAGACCTCCTCTCTCGATGCAGGGTTTCGCCGCGTGCAGGTTGTGCACCAAGGCAGGCCTGCAGCACATTCACTGACTCAACCACGAAGTCTTGGGTCTCCGTGACCATCGTCGAGGGGGACGACGATGAAGGGGACGCCTGCTCTTGGGCCACGAGGAGTTGCCACAACTTCAAAGGAAAGGGATCGGCGATGACCGTGACACGCGAAACGCGTGCCCTTTCCTGTCTCGAACAGGAGCTCGCGGCGAGAGCCCGCCGCCCATTTCAGTCCTGGCCGCGTCATCAGCTCAGCACCGGTAGTAATCGAGGAGACGTTGGAGTACGGCGCTGTACGTCTGCTGCGCTCGGACTCAACTCCGCCATTCGGATCGTGCTGCTATCGTGACGAACCACTGCAGGCATTCCGATCGGACTTGCCTCACATGACATGGGAGAGCAGAGGGAACGTTTGCAAGGAT